TGCTCTGTTAAGGGGGGGTCACTAGTAACTTTCACAACCCCATTGTAAATCAAGGCTTTGCACTGCTACTGATCTACAAAGCCTTAAAGGGATACGCCTATACTATCTCACTACCACAACTCATCACAGTATCTATAAACAGCTAGTTTGTTATACTGAAGCTCCCTTAGTCAAGGATCTGAGGGAACTGTTGCTAGGTCCTTCTCAGCAATGAGTCCATGGCTTTGTCAAAGAACCAGAGAAGTAAAGGGGAAAAAACAGGCCACACACTGAAAGACAGCTAGCAATGATGGGTAAACCAGAGGGTAGGATGGAGAATTGATTGATTGACTGACTTGCTGTCTACATCTCACTGATTTTCTGCAATTGAACTACAGCAACTAGATACTATAGTGATAGCTACTTTGAAGATGCCAGTAGACATTCGGTCCCGGATCTCCTTACTCCCAAACCTGTTCTGTAGTCAAATTATCACCCTTTCTCTCCATAAACACAAAATATATTTTCTCTAGGTACTATTATATAAATATATATATTTAACTATGAAAAATCTGAAACACGTACAAACCATTTCAAAGTTTATGCTATAATTTAATATGTTCTAGATATACTGTATATACTCATTCATAAGCCAAATTTTTTTAGTAAAAAAGAGAAGCACCAGAGAAGGGGGGCGGCTTATGAAAGGGTATAGAGAGGGAGAGGTGGGACACAGTCCCTCCCCACAACAGAGGGAGCAAAGAGAGGCAGCAGAGCCAGAAGGGAAGAGGCGGGGCCAGAGTCTCTCTGCTTCTGGCCACGCTGCTCTCCCCCAAGCCTCCGAAGCAGCTGCAGCTCCGGGGCTGGCAGGCTGCAGCCGTGCCGTTCGGCCCCGCCCCCCAGAGCAGGCTGTGGCCACGCCGCCAGAGCACGCTGTGGCCATGCCGCCCGCCCCAGCCCGCTGGAACATGCTGCGGCCGCGCTGCCCGGTCTGGCCCGCCAGAGCAGGTTGCGGCGGCGCTGCCCAGCCTGCTGGAGCAGCTCCAGCCAGGTCAGAGACATCCTCCCCTGGTCTTCCCAAATAAGGTGGGAAGGGATGGGATGGGGAGAGTGTGGGGATCCCGGGCTAGGGATGGGGTCGTGTGGGGGGTGGTCACAGGGGTTACTCCCCTGACTCCCAGCTTTTCCTCCCCAAAAAATTTCCCCACCAGTTGGTGTCCCGGCCCGTCAGGGTAAGCAGCTGGCACGTCGGGACACTTTGTTTACTTAGGTTTACCTCCGTGCCTGCGGACGCTCAAGGTAAACAAACCATCTCGGCCCACCAGCGGCTTATTCTGATGGCCCAGGAGCCAAAGTTTGCTGATCCCTGAATTATAGGGTCGGCTTATGAACGGGTTATACATTTTTTTCCATTTTTACTTATCCATCTTGGGGGAGTCAGCTTATAAACAAATCAGCTTATGATCGAGTATATACGGTACTCTAGAAGTAAATATATATATATATATGGGTTACAATTTTAATATGGTAAAACTGAAGTATGTGGATTTTGGTGATTGATACATTTGTACAAATATAATTTATGAACTATACAGTATAAAACTACATATCTTTATTTTGCACTGAATACTGTCTCTTTGATCTTAGCAAAATCCTTGGTGGGGGTAGCATTTTTGTGACCCTTTCAGTATAGAATCATAGAATTGTAGGACTGGAAGGGACCCCGAGAGGTCATCCAGTCCAGTCCCCTGCACTCATGGTACGGGATCTAGATCATGCCTGATAGATGTTTCTCTAACCTGCTTTTAAAAATCTCCAATCATGGAGATTCCACAACTTCCTAGGGAACTTATTCCAGTGCTTAACCACCCTGACAGTTAAGACGTTTTTCCTAATGTATAACCCAAACTGTCTTGCTGAAATTTAAGCCCATTGCTTCTTGTCCTATCCTCAGAGATTAAGAAGAACAATTTTTCTCCCTCCTCCTTGTAACAACCTTTTATGTACTTGAAAACTGTTAGCATGTCACCCCTCAGTCTTCTCTTTTCCAGACTAAACAAATGCAGTTTTTTTCAATCTTTCCTCATAGGTCATGTTTTCTAGACCTTTAATCATTTTTGTTCGTCTTCTCTGGACTTTCTACAGTTTGTCCGCATCTTTCCTGAAATGTGGCACCCAGAACTGGAAACAACGCTCCAGTTGAGGCCTAATCAACATGCAGTAGAGCAGAAGAATTACTTCTCGTGTCTTGCTTACAACACTCCTGCTGATGTATCCCAGAATGATGTTTGCTTTTTTTGCAACAGTGTTACACTGTTCACTCATATTTAGCTTGTGATCCACTATGACCCCCAGACACCTTTCTGCAGTACTTCTTCCTAGGCAGTCATTTCCCATTTTGCATGTGTGCAACTGATTGTTCCTTCGTAAATGGAGTACTTTGCATTTGTCCTTATTGAATTTCATCCTATTTACTTCAGACCATTTTTCCAGTTTGTCCAGATCATTTCGAATTTTAATCCTATCCTCCAAAGCACTTCCAACCCCTCCCAGCTTGATATTGTCCACAAACTTTATAAATGTACTCTGTCTGCCATTTTCTAAATCACTGATGAAGATATTGAACAGAACCGGACCCATAACTGATCACTGTGAGACCCCATGCCCTTCCAGCATGACTGTGAACTACTGATAACTACTCTCTGGGTATGGTTTTCCAACCATTTATGCACCCATCTTACAGTAGCTCTATGTAGGTCGTATTTCTCTTGTTTATTACAAGGTCATCTGAGATAGTATCAAAAGCCTCGCTAAAGTCAAGATATACCAAATCTACTCCTTCCTACCTATCCAGAAGGCCTGTTACCCTGTTGAAGAAAGCTATTAGGTTGGTTTGATGTGATTTGTTCTTGACAAATTAATGCTGACTGTTACTTATCACCTTATTGTCTTCTAGGTGTTTGCAAATTGATTGCTTAATTATTTACTCCATTATCTTTCCGGGTTCTGAAGTTAAGCTGACTGGTCTGTAATTCCTCAGATTGTCCTTATTTCCCTTTTTATAGACAGGCACTATATTTGCCCATTTCCAGTCCTCTGAATCTCTCCCATCCTCCATGACTTTTTGAAGATAATTGCTAATGGCTCAGATACCTCCTGAGTCAGCTCCTTGAGTATTCTAGGATGTATTCCATCAGGCCCTGGTGACTTGAAGACATCTAATTTGTCTAAGTAATTTTTAATTTTTTCTTTCCCTATTTTAGCCGCTGATCCAACCTCATTTTCACTAGCATTCACTATGTTAGATGCCCAATTGCTGCTAACTTTTTTGGGGAAACTAGAACAAAAAAGTCATTTAGCACTTCTGCCATTTACACATTTTATGTTATTGTTCCCCCCGCCCCCTTGAATAATGGGCCTACTCTATCCTTGGTCTTCCTCTTGCTTCCAGTGTAATTATAGAATATTTTCTTGTAGGGCCACCCAGAGGATTCAGGGGGCCTGGGGCAAAGCAATTTTGGGGGCCCCTTCCATAAAAAAAAGTTGCCATACTATAGAATACTATATTCTTGGGGGGGCCCTCTGGGCGGCTGTGTTTTCTTGTTACCCTTTATGTCTCTAGCTAGTTGAATCTCATTTTGTGACTTGGCCTTTTGAATTTTGTCCCTACATACTTGTGTTATTTGTGTATATTCATCCTTCGAAATTTGACCTAGTTTCCACTTTTTGTAGGATTCCTTTTTGAGTTTCAGACCATTGAAGATCTCCTGGCTAAGCCAGGGTGGTCTCTTGCCATACTGCCTATCTTTCCTACACAGTGGGATAGTTTGCTCTTGTGCCCTTAATAATGTCTCTTTGAGAAACTGCCAACTCTCTTGAAATGTTTTCCCCCCTAGACTTGCTTTCCATGAGATCTTACCTACAAACTCCTTTAGTTTGCTAACATGAGTTCTGATAGGAAGGAAAACATTTGTGAGTATACCATAGGTTAATCCTGTGTCATCCTGTTTGTTTAAAATCTTGTAGAGAAGGTACCAGTCCGAATAAATAATGTAGTGACAATAATACAATAGTTGCAATGTAAAGAATTAGCTATTGAACTGTCAACAGCACTAGTGGCAGTAAAAGATGACGTCCTCAGAGCAATGGGTATAGGGGCCATATCGTAATGCGAATGCTACTCAACATCTCTGCAGCTTTCAAACACAATAAAGCAGAAGCTGCTGCTGACCCACATATTATATAGGTGAAGTAGATGGATTACATTGCAATTTCCCTAATCAGTCTCTTGAACAGGACCCCGAGAGCAGTGATAGGAACTTCTCTTGTTTACTGGAATGATTGACAAACATCAATGTTAGTATTATTTTATCACTGACATTTTAGATGAAAATGAAATTGTCAAAATGGAATAAATGACCTCCAAAATATCACTTTTTGAAAGCTGATATTTTTCTTTGCAGTTTTTTTCCCACTCATTTACATTAAGATTGGAAAATTTTGAAAACAAGTGTTATCTAACAGACCAAGAGATCATTAGAGAAACATGTGCAAGCATTATGCCTCTAGATCTGTTCTTAACTTTGCTCAAGAAGGCACTCAGAAACAAAGAACACCAGCTTAAATATTAAAGTCAAGAAAATGAAACATTCATGTGCTGCAGCCAGATATTGTTGCTGTAGCTGAATGTACCAGCGCCTGCCTGAATAAGGTTGGAAATTCACTGACAATGTATATGTTGTCTATAAAGCCTGCATTTAGAGACACAAATACTAACTAATCAGACTAAATAAATCAGCAGACCCAGGTTTTATCTTCACAGATAACCCTCATTAATCCAGTGAGCTTTTTTTTGAAGACAAAAGAAGAAATGAATCGCTTCATTTGTGTTGCTTGAATGGAATGCTAATGATGGGAGGTGAAAATCCATTAATTATTCATGCCTGTCGACTGAGAAGGCAGATCCTGGCTTTTCCTGTTACCATTGCAACAAGTGGCCGCTGGCCTAGTCAGAACAAGGCCATAAAACATTTCAACAGAAACAGACTAGAGATCACAAGTATGCCTTCTGGAGAAAGGAAACCCATGTTTCTGAACTGTACAGATCACATTCAGATGGATTTAAAAGCTAAACCTTATACAAAATGGACCCAGGAAACCAAGCCTTTTGTGTCTCAAATTTACTTTACCATAAACAACTCCTCTTTGGAGAAAGAATGTTGCTTTGGTAAGTTTGTACAAGTTGAGCTTTTCCAAATTAGTTGGAAACTGTTGTATATATCATGGCAAATGTAATGTGCAATGTTTTTCTGTGTCTTGCGAAGGAATGTTGAATAGCTTGCCTTGTTTTTATTTTAAAATAGATTTAAAAAAGCATAAAAATGATAATACTGATGACTCACAATTCTGCACATTGTTTTAACCCTAGAAAAGATGTAACAGTAATTGTCTTTAAAAGTTAAAATCAAAACTTCTAAAAATTGGTCTGCATTATTAAAATAAATTTCTCCTGACAGTCAAATCCTAATAAGATTTAAACAAAAAAATAAATCTTTGATCCAATATCTGGTTTCTTGCAAGCAAAAGAAAGACTCATGTAATTACAGTATCAAACTGGAGAGGCCAAAAGAAATCAGAATAGTACTCCGCAGAAGGTGTTTTGGTTCTCTGCTTTAAGTTGCATATTTATGTACACCTTGTATTGTTGCTGCTTTGTGCAGTAAAACACATTTTTGTGTTATCTGGGAATAGAAATAGCGAACAGTGTAACATTCTTATAGATTACATAAACTATACTGATGTAGCATAAATTAGTTGAAAGCAAAGTTAGTAATGAATTTTATTTTTCTAAGTAAAGAAATGACAGATGCTGTGCATGTAAAACACGTAACAGTGGGGAAGCAGTGTTTGGCATCTGTTTCCATTAGCGTAAGGAAGAAAGTTTTTATTTGTTAGTCAACACCACTGCAACTGTCTTGATTGAGCAGTGAAAAAAATCTCAGTATTTAAAATAGTATTTACATTATTCCAATAGAACTCACAAGTCAACTCACTAAGTAGAATTTTTCATAATAAAAAGAATTGGAAATAATCAGTGTCTAAGATGAGAGGCCAAAATCTTATTAACTTTGTCTTGTGAAAATATTGATTGTTTTGGTGCATATTCTGCTTTTGATGTACTTTGCCATACCTGTCAAAATGAAGAAAACAATCTTTTTATTTCATGTCCAGAAGAATCATATTTATAAGAGTTGAAAAGAGCAGATATCTGCATGTATTAAGGCAATGTACTAAGGCAATTTGCTAGGTAAATTGTATGCAAAAAGTGATGAAAATAAGGATATGTAGACAGACAGAGCTACACAAATATGGGGTGTGATCTTGCAACTCTTACTCATAGGAGTGTTCACATAAGTTGACTTATTGTCTTCAACAGAGTTACTCACATCAGTAAGAATTGTAGCAGAGGGCCCATGTTTTACCAGAAAATAACTGACTGTCTTATGTGGCTGTTGTGCAAGGTAATTTGAGCAGCAGGGTTTTTTAATTATGTGTTTAAATGCCTTAAAGTGTTTATGATTAAATTAGAGTTTACAGAACTTTTTTTTTTTAAGTACAAAAAAGAAAAATGGAACAATATATTAGATGTGTCAGGAACAAGGTACAAGAAGCACATGATTTATTGTAGAGATGTGCTACCAGTGGAACAGCACTGCTCACCTTAATTTATTTTATTTGTAAAAGAGATTAATTTTCAGTACATGAAGCATGCAAACTTTGCCTTGCTTTACACTGGTGTGGGTGCATCATTTAGCATAGAGAACACCATGACACCATCTCAAGCTACTTTAAGCACTGGACTATAACACAGGTAGAATTGGTGTCTCTCCCCAATGAAATGTAATGACTCCAGGCCTGCAAAAGACTTCATAGTTATTAGTGGAAATGGAACTCAGGAACTTCTGTGCCAGAAACACAGGTTCCAATCACTTGGGCCAAACGAAAGAGTCTATTAGCTGTATTAGTACTAGGGCTTATATCAAATTGTGGACTGCAGCTGTTTGCCTGCATTAGTGATGATATGGAACCACGGTGACCCATGGAAAGCTCAGGGAAAAGTGGTGCCTTTGGGGGTGCAGCCGCTCACTGATCTCTCCAGAGTCCCAGAGGTGTGGTAACACTGCACTATCCCTCTGAAACAAACTTGCTTCTTTGTCCATGAAAGGATACAGAGAAGAGGCCTACAGCCTTCCCTTTGGGGTTGAATAAACCCCCCAGGGGTGCATGGTGACTAAGGGTATAGTTGCACTACAGCAGCACAACTGCAGGTTTGCTGCTGTAGTGTAAACACCTGCTATAGCGATGGAAGAGGTTTTTCTCTCACTGTAGTAAATGTACTCACTCCAGAAGTGGTAGCTAGGTCAATGGAAGAATTCTTCTGTCAACCTAGCAGTGTCTACACGAGAGTTGAGGCTGGCTTAGCTATGTCTCATGGGGTGTGACTTTTTCATACCCCTGAGCAATATAGCTAAGTCAACCTAAGTTTTAAGTGTAGACTGGTGCTAAGATTGCTCTGTCTCAGACCTGGATGCTCAAAGAGACGCAAGTTTCCATATGCACTTGTAACCTATCCCTTTGCATACTGGTGCTCATATACACTGCAGGTAGGTAACTAGAGCAGATTTGATCACATACACTTGAGGAGGTGTGCCATTCCATCCAGCAGAAGGCCGGGGAACACATACACTCTCTGTGCACTAACCAGTAAACATTACAATGGGAGATTGTGAAAATTCATCATTGAGAAACTCTGTATCATGATAACAATAACAAACAGTCCTAGACACTCTTGGTACCCTCAATCTGTATGGTAGCAGTGATAATAGAGCTGTTGCTGTTGAAATGTAAACATGCCAATAGTTGCAGTGATAAAACATTAACATTGTGGAAACATTCTCCCGTGTCCTTTGAAAGGACAAGAACAAAATGGAAGAGCAATACTATGAATATCATAAAACCATAGTGCTAGATGATAATGTATCATTTGCAGATGGTATGAAACACCGGTTGGCTTTTGTAATGGTGTTTGCATTAGATAGCAAACAACAGCTTGACTAATTCTCTAATTTTTGATCTGTTACATGAAAATAATTCTCTTGTTTGCTAAGTGCTGAGTTTTATTATATTATTTTTATCCATTCATGCTGATTTGTTGCATCCTTGTCTTCTAGTGTTCCTTATTTCTCTTTGCTTCAATTTGTTTAAAAATTTTAAAATAAAACAAAGGAATAGTTTAAATTTTTTTTGCAATAAATCAATAAGGATAATGATGTGAGTAAAGAAGTTTACCAGGGGAATTTGATATCAAGTATTTCCTGAATTGCTATAGGGTTCAATCCTGCAGCTCTCCCACTGGAGGTCACCAGAATTATGTGTAGAACCCACAGCTCTGAGCCTGTAAGTTCATCCTATTTTTAGTTGAAATATAGAGATTTAATTCAGATCTTTGTTTAATGGTCTACTTCTGGTGATAGACAGGGTCAAGTATCCATGCTGATTTTATTAGCCATTTCAGTAGTCTTTGATATGACTGAAATGCCTATGGGACCAGGCAAAAGAGAATGAGGCTGCTCTAGAAAGTCTCTGCTCATTCAGAGACGTCCAGTGTCAGTTGCTCATCTTGCATCAAGAACTATGCTTGTGGAGATTTAATTGTGTATGATAGCCCAAAATACTCATAGTATACCTATAATTAGTATGCTGATGATGATTCTCACTGCAGCATATCCATTTTATGAAGGATTCTTTAGTCTCCTTTCACTCCCTGGCCAAGATAGGTACTTGAATGGGAGCTAGATGCTTAGACTTTATTATAGGGCCGTCGATTAATCGCAGTTAACTCACAAGATTGACTCAAAAAATTAATCGCGATTAAACAAATTAATCACGATTAATTGCAGTTTTAATCGAACTGTTAAACAATAGAATACCAATTGAAGTTTATTCAATATTTTTGATGTTTTTCTATATTTTCAAGTATATTGATTTCAATTATAACACAGAATACAAAGTATACAGTGCTCACTTTATATTATTTTTATTACAATTATTTGCACTGTAAAAATGATAAAAGAAATAGTATTTTTCAGTTCACCTGATACAAGTACTATAGTGCAATCTCTTTATCGTGAAAATGCAACTTACAAATGTAGATTTTTTTTGTTACATAACTGCACTCAAAAACAAAACAACGTAAAACTTTAGTGCCTACAAGTCCACTCAGTCCTACTTCTTATTCAGCCAATCGCTAAGACAAACAAGTTTGCTTATATTTATGGGAGATAATGCTGCCGGTTTCTTATTTACAATGTCACCTGAAAGTGAGAACAGGTGTTTGCATGGCACTTTTGTAGCTGGCATTGCAAGGTATTTATGTGCTAGATATGCTAATCATTTGTATGCTCCTTCATGCTTTGGCCACCATTCCAGAGGACATGTTTCCATGTTGATGATGCTACTTAAAAAAATAATGCGTTAATTAAATTTTGACTGAACTCCTTGGGGGGAGAATAGTATGTCTCCTGCTCTGTTTTACTCGAATTCAGCCATGTATTTCATATTATAGCGGTCACGGATAGTGACCCAGCACATGTTGTTCACTTTAAGAACATTTTTGTTGCAGATTTGACAAAACACAAAGCAGGTACCAATGTGAGATTTCTAAAGATAGCTACAGCATTTGACCCAAGGTTTAAGAATCTGAAATGCCTTCCAAATTCTGAGAGGGACGAGGTGTGGAGCGTCCTTTCAGAAGTCTTAAAAGAGCAACACTTTGATGCAGAAACTGCAGAACCCAAGCCACAAAAAAAGAAAATCAACCTTTTGCTTGGCATCTGACTTTTTTGCTTGGCATCTGACTTAGATGATGAAAATGAATATGTGTTGGTCTGCACTGCTTTGGATCATTATTGAGCGGAACCAGTCATCAGCATGGATGCATGTTCTCTGGAATGATGGTTGAAGATGAAGGGACATATGAATCTTTAGCACATCTGGCACGTAATTATCTTGTGACGCTGGCTACAACAGCGCCATGTGAACGCCTGTGCTCACTTTCAGGTGACATTGTAAATAAGAAGTGGGCAGCATTATCTCCTGCACATGTAGACAAACTTTTTTGTCTGAGTGACTGGCTGAACAAGAAGTAGGACTGAGTGGACATGTAGG